TGGGGTCCTTATGGGGTCACTGTGGGGTTATGGGGTCGCTATGGGGTCCTTATGGGGTCACTATGGGGTTGCTATGGGGTCCTGTGCAGTTATGGGTTCGTTATAGGGTCCTATGGGGTCTCTATGGTGTCCTTATGGGGTCCTGTGTGGTTATGGGTTCTATGGGGTCACTGTCGGGCTATGGGGTCGCTATGGGTTCCTTATGGGGTCACTATGGGGTCCTTATGGGGTCCTGTGCGATTATGGGTTCGTTATAGGGTCCTATGGGGTCTCTATGGGGTCCTGTGGGGTTATGGGTTCTATGGGGTCACTGTGGGGTCCTTATGGGGTCGCTGGGGGGGTTATGGGGTCACTATGAGGTCCTTATGGGGTCGCTATGGTGTCCTTATGGGGTCCTGTGCGGTTATGGGTTCTATGGGGTCACTGTGGGGTTCTGGGGTCCTACAGGGTCACTATGAGGTCCTTATGGGGTCACTGTGGGGTTATGGGGTCGCTATGGGGTCCTTACGGGGTCCTGTGCAATTATGGGTTCGTTATAGGGTCCTATGGGGTCTCTATGGGGTCCTGTGGGATTATGGGTTCTATGGGGTCACTGTGGGGTTCTGGGGCCCTATGGGGTCACTTTGAGGTCCTTATGAGGTCACTGTGGGGTTATGGGGTCACTATGGGGTCCTGTGGGGTCCCTGTGGTGTTATGGGGTCCTATGGGGTCACTATGGGGTCCTTTGCAGTTATGGGTTCGTTATAGAGTTCTATGGCGTCACTGTGGGGTTCTGGGGCCCTATGGGGTCACTATGAGGTCCTTATGGGGTCCTGTGGGGTTATGGGGTCACTGTGGGATTATGGGGTCCCTATGGGGCTGTGGGGTTCCTATGGGGCAGGGGAAAATCCTATGGGGTTTGTATGGGGCTGTGGGGATCCATATGGGACTATGGGGTCCTGTAGGGTCCCTATAGGGCAGGGGAAGGTCCTATGGGGTTTGTATGGGGCTGGGGGAATCCCTAAGGGACTATGGGATTCCTATGGGACTACAGGCTTCCTATGGGGTTTGTATGGGACTATAGGGTCCCTATAGGGCAGGGGATGGTCCTATGGGGTTTGTATGGGGCTGTGGGGATCCATATGGGACTATGGGGTCCTGTAGGGTCCCTATAGGGCAGGGGAAGATCCTATGGGGTTTGTATGGAGCTGTGGGGATCCATATGGGACTAAGGGATTCCTATGGGACTATGGGGTCCTATAGGGTACCTAGGGGGCTATGGGGTCCCTATGGGGCAGGGGAAGGTCCTATGGGGTTTGTATGGGGCTGTGGGGATCCCTAAGGGACTACGGGATTCCTATGGGACTACAAGCTTTCTATGGGGTCCCTATGGTACTACAGGGTCCCCGTGGGATTGGGGGAGGTCCGTATGGGGCCGGGCGCTATGGGGCAGCCCTATAAACCCCCCCCATTCCCCCCCCCCAGCACGCGCAGTTCCATTGGGATCCCGAAACGGTGGGGATGATCCACGGCTCCTTCTTTTGGGGTTACATCGTCACGCAGATCCCGGGGGGGTTCATCGCACAGAAGTTCGCTGCCAACAGGTGGGGGGGGTCGCGACCCCC